TAATTTTTACAAAATTAATTACTTGAGCTTTCAATCTGTGTGCACGGGACAAATTAGCATGTGGCTCCAAGTCGAGAGCCGTCCGCTTGTTAATAATGCAAATGAAAAATGACCCAAAGGCGCGGCCCAAGCTCAACTTGAACGTCAAAGAAAACATAAATATGATTCGAAATTTATGCAAATGACAGTTGGGCGAGAAATTATGTGCCTGCGCAAAACATTGCGGACAAATGAGTCTAATTAGAGGAAATTAATTTCTTGGTTGCTTAACAAAATTGTTACACAGACGCTGAAAAGTATGCTCCATAATTTATGCGAGCTCTCTGATGCCTGAAATTGAACAGCAACACTGAAATGAATTGCAAAACGAAACCCGTAAGATTTGCAGCTGTCTCAGCTTACTTGGCAAGTACACATACAAGTATAAGCACCTTTAGCGTGGTACGTCTTTATAGCATCCGCCATGATTTGCGTTTATACATACTTGTATGCTTGTAGTGCCAGCGGGGGAAATGTATTCAAAACTATGCAAGTTTTATTTCTGCTTTTCATTCAACAGCAACAGCAAGCAAGCAACCTTAAGTTGTTTACTTCCTTCCACTGCCAGTTCAACAACTACGGGTAAGACAAAATATTTTGTTGCCAGCCACCATTCAAAATAAAATGCCAAAATAAAGGAAAAGAAATACGCAAATTTTCAACTTGCAACTGAAAAACAAGTGCAAAAGTTTTCACTTGAACTCGAGAACATTTCTTGCAGCATTTTCTTTTATACTTCTCTCTCGTTATTTAGCCAAGAATTTATGTTAATTATAAACGGCGCCTGCAACTCGTTGCTCCTTCTCTGGGGAGCCACAAGCGAAAATTCTATGAAAATGTTGGCGGTTGCCCGACACCACCGCCACTAGCCTGACTTTAAATGTTCGGCAAATGAATGCGCTCTGTCATGCTCGCTTAACTACTCGCTTAAACTCGCGCTTAAATGCAAATTAATCTACGACATGCCGCTTAACACTTGTTTGTTAATATGCACATTCTCATTTGCTGCTCATCTAGCGACTCAGGTGGCTGGGATACCTGTACGCCTGTACGCATCAATGCGCATAATGGGTTGGACAATTGTGCATATACGAGTTTATATTCTCGGCATTGCACAATTACCTATATAATTGCTGTATTTTTTTTATTGCGGTCATTCAGATACTTGTCAATAGCGTAAATGTGAAATGCCAATTATTTCAGTGATGCGTCATTAAGCTGCTTTAATTACACGGGACTCTGCGTGCGATCAATTACAGCTCATATTCGAGTAGATTGCGATATAGGCATGCGTAATTAATTCGTTGAATGTGTAGCTTACCGAGAGATTAAAAACAACAATACAATGGAAGTATGAATGTATATGTTCCGTATAGACTCCAAAACCGCTCAACCGATGTTGATCAAATTTTGTGGCAATATTCAAAATAGTCCCGTGGGTAAAACAGTGAGGTTTCGCGGCGATTCGTCAACGCCATCAACCATCGTTTTTTGGGCTTTGGAAAATGGCAAATGCCAAATCTGATCCAAGAAACATATATAGTTGTCTTCTGATTTTGATCAAAAATTATGTTTTTCATTTATAAAACATATAAAAAAATGCTGTACAACATGACTACCTCGGTGAAGATATAAAAATAATATCAGACGTAACGTGGTGAAAGATTAATCTTTTTAAGTTCTGTTTCGGCGATAAGAAAAAATCCTATTGAGGCGACTAAACGCCTCGGTTGTTATACTTATAATAAGTTTGTTGAATAGCGGAACCGCTCTAAATAATACTGACTGACTTGCCTACTTTTATTACAATGTTCTTATGTCTATTGTGGTGTGATTTGGAGAAGCTAAAACACTTAAACATACATACAAGTCATTACATGTTATATGTTTTATGTTTTTAAACAAAGTTTATATGGGAAACATTGCAGTTTCAAGTTCTGAGACCGACTGTTCTTGCAGCTTAGCTTATCGTACCATTGTGTTGGCAATCTTCTATTTTCAGCTACCTCTGGCAGAATCGCTGATCACTATTTCTGTGAGTAGGGAGCTTGCCGGACTGGTTAATAAACCCCCACCATGCCACTTTTAAGCTCTTAATTATATTTTATCTTTTATTATTTAAGTATTTTAATTTTAACTTAATTATACTTATTTTTAATTTTTAATTGCTATTTCTACCATCTCAATTTTTTTTATTAGTTCTAATAACGTCTCTGACTACTCTCTGCTGTGTTTGGCAAATAAAATTCCCCCACCGAGTCGGATTCGTTATTAGATATTTCTGTTACTTTTATAGGTTTTGTTAGTCGATAAAATAAATAATTAAATAAAAGGACGTTCATCATATTTCACTTCGTAGTGGAGCCGAAGTGTGCCTTTACTGCATCAAGGGGATTCATTTAATGCAAGCAGGAATACTGTAAACCACACTTGCAATCTATTGTTGATTTTTACATTCTCCATCGCGCTCTAAAGTAGGCAACGGAAGAGGAACAACCCAACGAACAAATCCGAAAAGTTGCGCCAAACAAATACAAACGAAATATTCCCACACTTTTGCAGTAATTAGCACCAGACGGTTGTTAACGGGTTACTATCCAGCAGTTTAATTAGCAAACGAATCGCCTGCAACAACGAACACACACCGACGACATTGATAGTCTCCACGAGTATGTATGAATGTGCATGCCTCTAATTTGCATATTGAGTTACGCAAATTTCAACGAGTTGCAGTAATTTTGTGCATATTGTGGCAGGCATTCGGTTAGTTAGCGAGATGTTGGTGTTATTGTTGGAGGTTTGCGCGGATTTTACAAAAGCATGCAGAACAGATTCGGCAGCAATGCTGGCACTCGCATGTGGGCTGTCAACCACAGGTCGACGCTAATGCTCTTAGCCCGGAGTGCAGTTGTAAATTGTGAATCATGGTCCTGCAATGAACTCGATGCTAATGTGCTGCGACATTTTGTACGCTCATAATATTGATCTAAGTACACACACAGAGAACAATTTTTAGCATCAATTTGATCTTAATTTGTAAATAAAAGCCTTTCAAATGTTTCAAATAAATAAATCGAAAAGCATATCATATCAATTAGTGATGTCGTACATTCAATATATTATTAATTTTGAACTAAAAAATGTAAATTGATATAAAAATAAAATGATTTAATATGAGAGCAAACAAATGAAAACAAAAAATTGTGGTAAAATGTGTTCAGGCACGCTACTTGTATTGGGTTGACTGATAAAGGTATGTAATATCAAGTCGATATATTCACAATCATTTGACAAAGATTGGATGAAAAATTATTTAAAATGTGCTGTTGATGATATTCTTATATATGTTATTGATGTTACTCGCATATTCGAGTCAGTTTTTTATTCAGTTTTTCTGTCGGTGTATATAAATAAAAATGTGTGTGTTGGAGAAAGCTTTTATTGAAATTGCCAAGGGCAACGCTGCAGTTACCAATAACTCGATTCGGTTGCCAGAGGCTCAAAGGCAATTTTTGCATATGCGACAGACTGCAACAGCATATGGGAAAGGCGAATGAAATTAAATTTCGCTTCAAGTACGAAATGGTGTCACAACAGCATGTTTGAAGCAACCGTCGCCAATGGCGTCAATCGATTTCCCATAAATGGCAACAAAAGACAGCCCCTCGCAGCATCTGTCACATGAGGCAGACAAAGCGCCTGTCATAAAAGGCGCCTCAAATTGCAATAAGCAGCAAATCCCACAGCATGTAATGACAGCGACCGAGTTGGGACAAAACACACACAACGATGGAAATTTAAAGATAAAACTCCATGACAACGTAAACGTCAATTATGTGGGTGAGGCGACTAAATGATTGAATGGCAGGCAGACGAGGCACAAAAACTAAAACAGTCAAAACGAGCCGGCAATAGCGTCCACACGCATTGGCATGGCTTAAAGCCTGTCAGTGGCATCAGCAGCGTCTGACACATTTTCAAGTAATCCGGCGACGAAATGTGTGATTTATGTCAACCTGATGCTGTCAAAGGCAGCGCACATTGGATCCTTTAGTAGAATCTCGTTGCACAAATTAAAACTTTATAGAATGCCAGGTATTTCTGTGATCGAAAATGAATGAAGTAATTTGGATTTTTTTTTTACAATTTATGGTCTTTACGGGCCTAACAAATTTATTAAGCTAAATGCCTTCATTTCAAATTAATGATTAAGGCTTATATTTAAAAAGTCGGTCTTTCGTGAGCACTCGATTGGTATTTGAATATCTTGTAGGCGACTTAAGAGATATTACCTTATTTCTTTTCGATTGGACGGGGTACTAATTTAGAACATAATGTCGTACAAATTTAATTTATTTGCCCGTTGCTTTATTTTTATTTCAGCTTTGAGTAACGTTTTATTTATTACAACTATACATATATTTTTTGATTATGTTGAAAATCTCTCACTTCAAAATTTGATCCAATCTCATCAAGCCAGAGCTAGCTTACAGCTATAGCTCGATTAAAAGACCATTACACGCAGATGATAGATGGATAATTGCTCGAATTGGTCGAATAAACAAAACGTACAAAACGAAAATAGGTGCATGGTTCATATGAATTTTTTCATTTCATCATTTGTAACAATTGGTATCCCTAGCTGTTATGAGCAGACATGATCTGATTGATTTGTCTCATAATCCGGATATACTAAATGGCCCTATAACACGAGGTATGTAAGTCATGTCTTCTTCTGTCAATATTTGAATCCTATACTATTTAGTAACCCCTTTAAAGGTTCGGGTATAGTGCAAGAGTATAGCAATACAAAAAATCATGTTCTTCCTTTTAATAATCATGTTATGCTTTGACGATATACACTATATTTGTGTATGTATATGTATGTTTTAATTCACATATATTTTTATAAGTGATTTTTAAATAACTGTCACAATGAACTAATTTTCAATTAATATTGTTTACTCAGTGCGCAATATAAAAGCATTGACATCCGCCTTCCAATCGTTGTAGGCGGCAAGTTTGATTTGAAATTTATATTCGCCAGCAGGTAATGGCATTAGTTTTAGGTACTTATCCAGAAAAACCATGCGTTCTACAATGATGTCGTGCTACAATAAAAACATATATTACCTAGAAAAATAAATACATAAATCTATAGTATAGTATATACTTACATCGTAGGGACAAGTGTGATTAATATTTGAATTTTCCAATAGCATATCGAAAAAGACTTTGACAAACGACGGGCCCGGATTTCGTTTCGCACTAAACTGACAAACATCGACCGTTTTATTGTACAAAAAGGGGCGATACCCATTATATTTGCGCCATAAGCTCAAATTAAGCTATCGAGAAAAATTATGAGCTCCTTATGTCATGCTAAAAATTTGCAACCCTTTACTTACAGTGACATTAGTAACGGGCAACTGGAAGAGTTCTGCGTGTAAATAGAGTCCTACGATGCCACGTCCTATTACCTTGAGTTTGCATTCCTTGAAGCCCACAAAAGACTTATCATAGGATTCACACTTGACGTTTGTAAAACGTGTTAGTGATATATCCCGAGCCATCGTAATAAGCAGGAAAATTCCGCTCAAAAGACTAATTTGCTTGATTGCGACTACCATCGGCTGTAGTTCGGTTGGAATACACAATATAATATTAAAACGTGTCAATTTATTGTCATCGTATGGCATTTTTCGAATTGCAAAATAACTAATGCGTAAATAATGCTTTCCTTTATAAATAGTATAATTGCAAATTATCGACCCCATAAATGATATATACAGACATATTCTTAAGCAGCATGGCGATGGATGAACGCCTGGATTTCGGAAATGGCTGAGCCGGTTTGTAGATTATCTTTTTTCCTAGGCAACACGAGTTTATTTTATTTTATTTTTTTGATTTTTCAGAACTTTGTACACTTACTTACACTTAATACACTCATTTATTACTTTTCTATACTTTTGTATAGCACCGAAATCGGTTGTTTTTGAGAAAAGTTTTCAGCAAAACGATTTATTCAAGTATAACACCTCCAAGGTACGGAAGGAGGTTTGCTCTTCTTCTTCTTTTGCGTCTTCATCGCCGATAGTTTGTTTGGTTGCAGGCTATATCCACTGTAGCCTTCTCCCGTCTTTAAACAAAACAATTTTAAAATTTCCAAATTTATTGTCCACATAGGTACAGAGTATTCCAAAGTCGGAGCTTAGCCTTACTTTTGTTAGTTCACCAAATAGCTACGAAAACCACTGTTTCATCAATATTTCACAAACAAAAGTGGAAAGACCAATTAATAGTCCAACAGATAGACAATTCCAAGCCCAGCGCAAATCGTTCACCTTAAGTTCGTGGAAGGCAACGATCGGATTGGGCTCATGGAGGGAAATGAGACCTACAGAGACCAAATCCCGAACTGTTTGGTCCCTCCAAAAGCGCGTTAGACCTGATGAGTGGACTTGATGTATTAGTCGGTTTAGATTCTGTTCGTAAATCGAGTTCGCTTCCATGGCTATAGACATGAGTAAATGATGGCCAAATATTAGCTCATGCGTATAACACATGGCGGGGCGTGTAAAAAGTTGTTGGCGCTTGGCTATGATAACCCATTCCGAGTAGCTTATGGAAAACGCATTGGACTGATTCAAGTCACTGCGCATGCTATAGAACAGATTCGAATTGAGATACTCAATGCGGTCTCTGATCTGATCCACCGGTCGATAGCCGCTGAAAGAGTCGAAGTAGAAGCGTTCGGTCTCGTCAAAGTAGATGTGAATCGGTGCATCTCGGAGTTGTTGGAAATTCTCAATTGCCGGCTCTGTCGGATGTTTTGTGAGCAGCGTCTTAAGGAAGGCCGCAAAGAGAGTGCTCACTAGGAGACCGAGCAGGAAGAGCTGAGCATTAGCGACTCGTGAGCTAAGATGATTGTGGGCTCGCATAAGAAGGGACTGGCCCATAATGTCCGATATGACGCGCTCATTGAAGAGCAAACTGCTCCAGTCCAATCTGCGATGCAGCAACACACAGCCGAAGATTGTGTCCAGCAGGGAAAATATAAAATAGAAGCCTACTACTATAACCAGAATTCCTGAACTGGCTACCATCAGATAAATACCGGCGGTGGTTATTTCCCTGGGACAAGGTACCATGACGAACCATTTGGAGACCTCAAACGGATATGAGAATACGCCGATGGCGCTCGGTAGCTGGAAACCACTCAGACTGATGGGCATATCGAGAATGCCATTAAGTGTTAGATTACGCAGCGCGATAAGCGGAATCTTTTTCCCCAGCAAATCTGGAGATTGCCACTTGAGGGTGAGATTGTGCCAGCGTATAAATTCCAGAAAGAGTTTGGCTATATAGCCGCTCAGTAGGTGCTTTCCCGTTTTAGGATCCTTATAGACAAAGGAGCGAGACACTATTTGATCGGGCATGGTGTACACCGACTTTCCATAGTAGTTGTCAATTTTGATAAACATTGGGTCGCTGCCGATGCAAGGCAACTGAACAAAGTGCTCTTTGGGAAAGGGATGCAATCGTTGAAGAGTGCAGGTTTCATTGCCTGCGGCCGGTTGCCACAGAACCACAACACGCAGAATTTTGTGTCGCCTCGACATTTTAGCAATTTGTTGTAGGGGATCCTTGAGTCCTCCTTCTGGCAAAATCAACACGACGCGTGTTCGTCGCATGTTATGCAAATTCCTGGCCAACCCACTCCACAACTCCTCGTTCAGTTTCTCGTTTTTGCTGATGCACACCACAGCCAGCATTTCACTGTTGAAGCTGCCGCTTAAATAGTAACTTGCGTCCTCATTAAACTGCAGCACTGGCACAATTCCTGCAGATAATCTATGCAGCATGCACTCCGACTCCCTGCTATGGCTCAGCAGCAGAAGCGTATCGTAAGTCTGCTCCGTGTTGGCTTTCCTTAATATGTCCTCCAATGGCATTGCAGCTGAGAAGCGGGTGCAGAGAGCGAAGCAAAGCCCTAATACCAGTACGTGCCACATTCCGAACGTTTATGAATGCGTGAAATGGCTGAAAGTTTTCCAAGGGGGTCTGTTCCGCTGTATCTTTAGCTTATCTTAACATCCAAACTAATTAGTGGCTGTTACAAATGATTGCTGGCCCCTTGGATTGCTGGCAATTGGTGGCGGAGCCATTAATTGTGAAATGCCAGCAACAACGATGACGCACAATTGCCATTAGCATACGCTTTTATGGCTTTAATAAAACAGAAATGCCACTATTAATGGACGTGTTTTAAAGCGAGACAATTCTAATATTGTGTGCTGGCAAACATAAAAATCCTTTCAGGTGCTGAGTTATTTGCATTCATCAATTGCAAGACATGAGTATTAAAATTCATTCAATAACATAAATATGCCCTACAGTTTCAAATTCTCAATTTCCGCGTATTTGTATTCATGTATACATTTTAAAACACATTTGCAATAGGCGGCTGAAGAAGTTCAGCGCCATTAAAATTCGGCACAGTTAGGTTTTAACTTAGAATTTAGAATATAACTTCTGAATCGCAAAAAAAAAAAAACATAAATTACATAGTGAAAAGGAAGTGTGTAACATTTTTTTAATTTTCTTTCTCTACATTTGGCTACTTTTATGGCTTGTGTTTTTAAGAGAATAGAATTTTTGTGAGAATAGAATCAAAGCAGAGCACGAAATATTCGATAGAAACACTAGTTATAAAAAGATTAATGATCAAATCTTTCCATACTAAGGCGTCCTTTAGGTCTTTTCAATGTGCAACAGGAAGCTTTCCCTTACAAGGGCTTGAAAATAGTTCGATCAATAGTAAGTAGCAGTAGCACCATTATTTAAAGGACCAGATGACTGGCGTGCAGGGCTCGACCAGTGCGCTACTAATATTTTTTCAGACTCCTCAAAAATCGAGACAGCAGCTGGGACGGCAATATATAGCGCAAAGCTTGAGCTCAAGCAATCTTACAAATTGCCTGACTAATGTAAATGCGTCTACCCAAAACTAAAAATATTATAACAAAGTACCTGAATGCTAAAGGAAGTGGTAAAGCGAAGTCCATTACGGATCGATGACTACACTACTTTTCAAGCCGATCTTCAATGCTTATGGCGGTTCACTGGATTAAGTAGCAATTGAAATTCAATTGAGTTAGTCAATTTAAAACTGATCTTTAGATATATTTTAATCAACCGCATTATTATTAATTGCTCCAAAACAGCTGTACAATAATATTTTTCGACTTTATTTTCGATTTCAGGTGGTATGCTTATAAAGTAAGTTACTGGCAGAGGTTTAAGATTAGAAATTCTACAAACTTAAATTTAATTATTTCTTGAGGTAAACTTTGTTTTATTCTTTATGAGAAATCATTTTTAAGTGATGTATTTTTTAACAAACCAATTCAAATCTAAATTCAAATTTTTCATCTCTTCTCCAGTTGTACAATAATTTTTATATTCCCGCCTTCTAAAATTTTGAATTTTCGATTTTAATATTTGACGTTTTTATTAATATTTACGTATCTTGATTCCCAGAAATCTTCGACTTAGTGCTCTGTTCAACTACACTGGTACTGTTTTCATATTGCCAAAAGTTTTTGTATCAATTTAGGCTTTGTTTGCAATTAAACGACTTGTATGTAGAGCTTGAAATGCTTGATGTTTCGGTGATCAACGAACTCTTCATTACTTATTGAAAACGAGAAAATTGGAAACTAGAGCAGAATTCATTTTACGTTTTCATCTATCCGGCAAGCAATGAACATCTAGACAGGTCCATGTCAGCAAGCACTCAGCTAAAAGCATCTCTTGAAAAGGCACCGATGACATTGATGCAATAAAAGATTCATCAGCCACACAATTGAAACTTTTTGCAAAAGTAGTATAAATATTAAAATTGCATGCCGAGTAATTTATTTTGCAAATTTTAATTGCTCTCATAAAACATAGATAGATAGTATGAGTACGAATATAGAGCATACGTACGTATATATGTACTTGTATGTAGTATGTATGCTCATCTGTTTGATATGGAAATCCAGGCCCATCACATTTTATGCAACGTGGCTAACTTTTCAACAACTTTCCGCCACTTCCGCCCCATTTTAGTGGGCGCGGCTGCGTGAGCAAAGCAAGTGCTGTGTACACTTCATGATTTCTACGCTGGCACTTCTGTTTGCCATTTGTGAGTGTAGCATTCAATTAAACGAGTTAAATGTGCGAGTGTGCAGTAATGGAACTATGAATAGCTTTAACACAACTTGAAGCACGTGCATTAATTTACATGAGTGCATATTTGATTTTATTCCATTCACCTCTTTTTTTATGAGCGTGCTCTTTGCTTTTGCACTCGCCTCTTCGCTTTCGTCGTCCTCTTCATGAGAGCCATGAAAATTTATATTTGCATAAAGAGCAGATGTATGCAATGCTTTCCTGCTGGCTGCCTCTGCTTGAATGGGCGCCATTTGAGGAGGCAGTAAAAATTAAGCAACACAAATACCAAAACGAAATATGGTAAGGAATGCTTGCGAAAATAATTTATGCAGTGCTGCGACTTCTTTCGCAGAAGCCATCGCCATCGCTGCTGCGCAACGTTGCGTATACTTAATTTTACATTAATTATATTTGTTTTGCTGATTGATTTTCCTGCGCGACTGTCTGTCTATCTGTCTGTCTCTGTTGTTTGTAATGTGTTACCAGCGCCTTTTTACATTTTAATTGGCATTTTTAAAAATAAAATTCGTTGAAGCAAATCTTCAGCACCGCCATTACAGTACATTGGCTCTAAACTTGATTGCACGAAGCCAAAATATAAAAAAAGACACTAATAACTGGCTTACTGGAGATCCCCAAAATTCAGCTAACTTTTGGCTGAATTATCTTTTCTTCATATAAATGTACTATATTTGTTAATTTCTTTTCATTTTTTTTCCGAAATTATATGTTATACCACTACTGCATTGGCCGACAAAGTTCCTGAATACACAATTTTCCCATAAATAAATCGAATTTTAGCCTAACTAAAATAGAGAAAAATGCTTGTAGTATAGGTTTTTTACATTAGTTATTCGTTGTTTGGTGGCATCTTTAGGAGCTTTGTGATGAATTTTTAAGTAAGATGAAATTAGAAATTTCCAATCTCTTGAATTTGAAAAGTCTTGATTGCTGACCAATTGTTCTATCATTCAATAAAAGTATTAAGTTTTAACTGATATGAATTTATAAAAGACTGCTTGTTTTTTTAAATTATTCCCGAAAAATTAACCAGCGAAATTCCTGTAGTGGAATGCAATTGTGAGAAATGTTTTTCAATAAAAATTAACTTTTTGGCTTTAGAGTCAGAGTAAAATGTAGCATATTAGATATGGAAAACATTCTAAATTACAACAATATACATATGTGTTATAAATTGCGCTCGTCTGTATTTGTTATTTAATATTTTTGCAGTAAAACTAGATTATATTCTCTTTGTTGCGTTAAGAAATAAATAAATGAACACCTTTTATTCAAAGGTTTATACCAAAAGTGAAATTTCTTCAATTAATAATAAAAATTAAAAAAGTAGAATCTGTTGCACAATTAATAATTAAATATTGTCGGTAATTCCGTTTAAAACGAGAAATACTATGTAGCTCCTAATATTCTTTTCCATAGTGTAATGAAATTTTTTGTTTTTAAATATGCTTCTCAAAAAGGTTTAATTGAAAACCAGTGTCCTTTGAAGAAATTTGATGGCAGCTTTGAAAACCATTTTGTCTATCATTTACGCATAGCCTAAAGCTGCCTCCACTCTTCCTCACTTAATGCCACATTTGGCTGCATAAATTAATGTAAATCTAACTTAGGCAGGCGAGGAAATGACTTCGACGACTGTGCTGGTGGCGCAGACTTCGTTTCTGGGTGCACAATAAATTTATTGGTTTTTATTTTTTTATATTTCTCGTATAAGCTTCGGCTGGGACTGGGAAGCTGCTGCTTAAGTGGCTTATCAAATTCGCCTAGCACGCAAACATCTTGACAACATCAGATCCGCCTCGCCTACTCCCACACACACTCACACACACGCACACACAGGCAGACTCACATATGTGTCCTGAGGTCGCATAGCTTGTGTGTATTTTTTTGCTGCTATGCTTATATTCGCATTTTAAGGTCGACGTCTGCACTTCCTGTGTAGTCAGAAATTACGCGAAGATGAAGTAAAATTTGATGTCAAATGACTTTGAAAATATGTAGAACAGCAAGAGGAAGAGCAACAGCATTTTAAATATAATTTATTTACACCATAATGACTCTGCTTCCTGCATAAGTCGCATACAGTAAAAAGTATTTATGCGTCATACCGTCAACACATATAAGTAGGCTGGGAAAATTGGAAAAAATTGTTTATATTAGGTAAATATATTGTGTGTGTAAATATTAAGACTTGGACTTAGCTTTCCTTTGCAATTCTGTTTAAATTTTAAATTTACCAGGCAGCCCAGATCGACGTAGAAAGTCCAGATACTACGTTCGTTTTCTAGTAAGTGCAGGGCCGTTGTATAGAAGGTGTTGGATGCCTTCAATAAATTCAATAAATGGATACATTTTTAGCCCTGCAAGCAATTAAACTTCCATTATAAGTTATTTTTGCACTCCACGCGGAGTGTATTCAAAAATGGGCCTTTTTCGTGCTTTTTGCTTTAGTGTCGCTTTTCCTGCTATAAACTATTTGAATTTTCTGTTCTACATATGCATGCTTAATTTAGTAATGAAGTCTCACTAATTCATTTACTTATTTACCAGATTGATTTCTGATAACATTCATGAATGAAATGTATTATAACCCTTCTGCTATTAGCAACGAATGGAGATATTCAGACTTTTAGTTCAGGCTATTTAACAGACATCTGTAAACATGTTAGGCAGATATAGGACAGTCCAGTAGGCCATTGTCTGTCTGTCTACCTGTCTGCCCACACCGACAACTTGCTACACTTATGCATACACATTTTGTTGCATTTTATAGTAACACAACACAATGGTTTTTTATTGGTTAATGATTTCATAGGGTTATAAATATATTTTACAATAACTATGAACACATATATAAGTCTCAAACGGCATATAGTCATTATGTACTGTACATGAATGTGTAATGTGTAGCCTGCTTTTGAGTGCTCAGTGATGAAAAAGTTGTCTACTCGGCTGCGTCTTCGAGTGTGCGGTGTAACTTTGTGTGCACATGTGTATGTAAAGTTATTAATTGATTTGGCTTTAAAGCACTGCCTTAACTGCCTTGAGTGAAGATGCAGTCGGAACATAAATATTTGAGCGCCTACACATCTTCAACGAAATCGCAGGAAGTTGACGCGAGTGCGGCGCTAGGAGGTGAATGAAAAAGTTGCCACAAACTTTTGCACTTCGAACATGAGCCGGAGGCCTAAGTCGAGATCTTAACATGCTGGCATGTTTAAGTGGGGTTGCTTAAGAAATTCGAAAATGTGTTAAGTAAAAATGACAAAGCACAACGAGGGCAAAGTTTTCGTTTTTGTTTTCATTTTCGTTTCTGTTTTCATGTTGTGTTGGATGTTGGATCAGGGTCGGGGCAGTTGGCAGTTGGCAACTCGTTAGTGGCCATGATTGAACGGATTTTGAGCAGACGTTGTGATGTGAATGTGATTTTAAAGCCGAGCATTGTGTATACCGCCATACAAAAGTAAGAGGCCGAGCGGCATTTAAGCGTAGCAAGCTCATTTAAAGTTTGCCCGCTCACAAACAAACTTTCCGCGCTAAGCTGTGAAATTGTTCGCCATTTTGTGGACACCGCCATTTCGGCTGGCGTATTTTAATTAAAAAGTGGCAAATGCGCAACTTTTAACACGTTTTTGGAGAGATGGCGACAAGCATTTGAACTTTTTTTTGTTGTTTTTAATTTGCTTGTCGCCAAAAAAAGTTTTTCGTATCAGTGTGTGTGTAGAAAAGTGCAAGAGAAAGTAATTAAAATATAGCAAATATTTGTGTAGTGCTTCGATTGCAATTTGCAGGCTCTGGTCGTTTGCTGTTGAAAAGCCAGCCAATTTTCAGCTCGTCCTTGACCAAACGCAGAGCAAGCGACCCAAAAGATTTCTCGTGCAACTCAGGCTCAGGCCGAGGCCCAGGCCCTCTGACGCAATCTGAACTGAATTTGTCTGAGCTGGGTTGCTTTAAATTTGTCATCTGGACCGGTCACAGAACTCGTCGACTCATGTCTCAATGACATTTTGTCTAGCGTGTCGTTCCGTCTCGTTGGCCTGTCTGTTTCTATGGCACATCCTTTTTCAGTTTGTGCCTGTTTGTCATCCTTTTTGCGGTCTCTGTTTGGGTTTGGAGCTTTGAAATGATTGCGGCTGCGACGTTTTTGCATATTTCTCATGAATACTATTTGCACGTTCACATTCACACAGATGTATCTATTTGTATATACATCCATACATATGTATGTAAATATGTATATGTATAGATAAAGAAAACCAGTCAACGCTGAATTATGCGTGGATACTTCGAGTTATGTGCTCAGCGACTGAGTTGTCTAAACAGTAAGCCACAGCCAAGACGCGGCATTCAAACACCCTTCGTGCATCTACTTATTTTTGGGGTCCCTCATGGGGAATGTTATTGCAGGGTGAAGCTGAACTAATATGCATACGTCATGTTCAACAGGATTTAAAGTTTTAGGGCTTCCGGACTCCACACACAAAACTAAGCAGCAATAAATTTGAAAGTTAAATTCCGGGTTTAATTAGTTAAGTAAAGATTAAATAAAGTGACTTAATCATTCAGAGGAAATAAATTTAGTCAGTGGCTTAAACTGGACTCAGTGTGTTACAAGGCCATAAATCTTAAATCCGTTTATATTTATGCACAAATATTGAAGTTTTAATGAATGCCAAGATCTTTAAGTTCATTTAATTAAAATATTTATATCCAAATAACTGAAGGAAGCGTTCAAGTTTTTACGAATTTAAACTGCAATGGCAAACATTGTAAATAAACAGATTGCCAATTTATACCACAATATATATGCATACTTTCTTTTTTTGCATGTATGGTATATAGTTGTCATTTATATCCAACTTATGTTTAGTTTGTTCAAATTATAATAAAATAATTCTTAAATTAAAATACCCTTTAAAAATTATATATGTATATACAAGTATATATATATGAAAAAGTTATGAACAATTAACTTTTACTGCAGGAACCCAAGTAAGAAAATGTCCGCAGTGTCATTAAACTACTTTATTAACTTTCTAAGCTCAATATTTATTGCTTTTTAATTTATGCAAACATTTTGCAATTGTTACATTTTACCTCAGAATTTAAATTTAACAAGATACGATGAGCAAGCCCGACAGAAGTATCGTATATTATTATTATCAAGGCTATTTGAAAAGTTTTAATTTAAACTTTTAACTGTAGTATTTGCAGGAGACGAAAAAATCACTTAAAAGCTAGTTGTTATTTATAAACATATTTATTTATAATACCTTCATAGAGAAATAATTATAAATATAATTTCATGCATTATATATCATATTTATTTAAAATTATGTGTGACACCGCATTATTGAAACTTAACGCGAGTAATTTACAAAGCTGTTGCGATGTTTCAACCGTCTGGCAACTCTCTGCCGGCCAAGCAAGCAAAACCAAAACAGAGAAACATTGGCGTCGTTTTGTAACCAAACTGGCTAGCACGTGTAATTTCCGCATGCTGATTGGCCAATGGCTTTCGCTTTTCGTCGTCGCAGAGCGCACAAACTGAAAACTAAGAGAGCAAAAGCGGGCACAAGAGAGCTAAAGGCAAACAGGTTTGCTGTTGCTCTAAGCAAGCAATGAAGCGACACACCCTGTATTCGTAAATGTGTATTTGTATGTGTGTGTGTGTGAGTCTGTGCTTTGTGTCTTCGCTGGTGTTGCGACCATCGTCGTTACTGCTGTCTGTTTCAGTTGTTGTTCGGCGTTCTTTCTGACCAGGCAGGCGTATACGCAACGAATCGAGCGCCTCGCGCGTATTATTGAAAAACGAGATTTTGGGCACACATCGCGCGTTTTGTCCGTTAAAATTTATGAATAAATGCAAGCAAGGATACTGAGTGGTAAACAAAAAAAGGAAGACTGTGACGTCTTAATATTAAGCACGCTATTTCCATACATACATACTACACATATATATATATATATATATATATATATATATATATATATATATATAGATATATATATATATATATATATATATATATATATATATATATATCTATATATATATATATATATATATATATATATATATATATATCTATATATATATATATATATATATATATACATATGTATATAAATGTATGTAGCAGTGGATATGTTTAGGTGCTAGTGTTGTTGGTGTGAGTGCGCGCATTGAATTTTTATGTTGATTATTATTAGTTCTGTGTTGCATTTGCATTTTCCGCACAGTCGCGGCTCGTGTTGGCTTGCAAGCCAGCCCGGAGCGACCGAAACGAGTTTCTCGACAATTGGCATTTCTGGCATTCTGAGCATTTAACGTGTGTTCAGCAGCCAAGCAGCTAGGTAGCCAGACAGCATCGCACATTGAAAGTGAAGCTCAGTCTTTGGCGCTTATGACAAAATTCTAACAAAACCATTTCCGTTTCACATGCCAGCAAGAGTTATGGTAATCATTTGTATGCAGACGCAATATAAGCACACAAATTTGCAAAAATAACACAAATTAACAAACAGAAAATAAAGAAGAAAATATCAAGTGAAGACGGCAAAAATTATTAAATATTCATATAAATCCCCGGCTAAACATTGCGGCTTAACGTAACAAAATATAAAAAGAAACAAACAAACAAAGGCTGCCGGCAGCTTTCGTTTAACAGAAAAAGCAAAAAACATAGCAACAAGTCGGCTTCGTCATTGGATTTTGGTCAAGAACGTTGCCAGGCGGCGTCTTCACACTCGTCCATGTGGTTATTGCTGTTGTCATAGTGTTTATTAACATACAACTTAACGGCGGTGGCATCGTCGTCTTCGTCGTTGGCGTCGGCGTCGGCATCGGCGTCTGTTTCCAAGAATTGTTGGCTGTTAACTTTCAAACCACCAAAAGCGGCTAAGAAGCAGCGTGGAAGCGCAGAAAGCAACAAACAAGTCAGTTTTTAAAGCGTGTAAGCCGAGAAGGTGCGCCCTGCCCGAGTCCACTACAGTCTATATGTCTCTGACTAAGTGTTAGTGAGTGTGTCTGTCTAAGTGTGCGTGTGACAGCCTGATACTGTGTCTCGGATTCTAAATTTGATAACTGTGAAATTATATACCTACCTGCTGCAGCATCGAGCGTCGCAGCAAGGAAGCGGCTGTGAAGCAGAAAAGGTAAGTGGAATTTTTTGTGCGCCAAATCAATTAATATTGCTGCGACGAAGAAAAAGAAGGTTAAAATAGTCTAAGGTGAAGCGACATCGGCTAAAATTAAGCTAACAAAGAGTGTAGATATATTTTCGCTTTTTATTTACTTAGTATTGAACAGATATTGATCTTTGAAAAACGTCACATCGATGATAACCGATCATGAAATAATAAAAATTTAAGTGAAATCAATTTTGATATAAGAATCGAACCCGATTAGAAGTAAAAAGTATTATAATATTATTAGTAATATTATAATATTGTTATATTATTATTAATATATGGCATTGTTTATCTAGCTCTGAAATATTCATGTTATTAAAAAGAAGCACTTTCTTCGCATAATAATAGTTTGTCAGTTAGAAATATTTTTTGGACACTACCTGATCGTGAAGCAAAGTAACGTTAGTGAATCAAGAAATATGCAATTCTTGCAACCAAATATTATTTATTAAACATTATAAGTTCCTAATATTCAAAAAGCAAGCAAATGAGACATCGCCAGACAAATATTTCTTTTATTAGTTTGTAGGTTTTCTTCAGCCGCAAGTATTTGCTAAGCAATTACTTCATCTAGAAGTGTTTCGATTAGACTAGGTGGTTTATTTTGTTTATTTCTACCAACATTGTAGAGAAATTTGTTTGTTTAAGCTGATTCCAAAATGGTTTTCGTCGTTTTAGGCTTTAAACAACAACTTAAATGGAAATGGCATGTAAATCATAATGCCAGTAATAGGAAGCTTTTGAATACACCTGCCCTTTAACAAGAATGTTCTCATATTAAATTTAAATTGAATCGAATTCTGTGTTAATGTTTTTGACGTAACTGTGAACTTAGTACTTTATTGGCAAGCGTCCAAGTAGAAATTATGTCAAAACAACGCTCGTGATTTGGAATAGTTGGGTAAAATGTGCTCAAATTTACATTGAAATCAGCCTTCACTGGGCTGGTAGTTATCGAATTTGATTTATTTTCGGAATCTGTGAATATTTATAGATACATGCACATAAATGCGTGTATTTCAACGTTAGTTTTTGGGTCATTAAAAGTAATTAGCTGGAATTATCTGCCATTATAGGATACGACGCACTAAGCAGCGTCGCAATTGTGTTTACAAGTAGTTTCCAAGAAGAAACAAAGCAGAATAAGGAACCAAAAGTAAGAATTTTGTATTCAGCATCCAAGCGATTAACAAACTGCAACATAAAGAATCGATTAAAGGAAAAGAAATTGATTAAAATCTTGCCATTTTTAAAGTGCTTGTACTTGTATTTTTTTTTTAAAAATATTAAAATAGAGAAGTTTAGTTTCTCAATACATATAGAAATTAAAAACATTTTATTCTTAAAACACAAATTGTTGTTTGTATCGTAATTATTTCCTTTTGAACGGATGATTGAGTTCCAAAAAAACTGTGTAGACGTAAATTGTTTCTTTTCCTTCCTTACAAGCTAAGCCTTGTTGCTTTTCTTTAAGTTGAAAAAGTTTGGCTCGATATATAGCTAGATAGTTTCTGCTCATTTTTCTTGCTTTTCTCTTTTGCTTTGTATGCTATTTTTTCTTACAGCCTTCATCAATTTTCTCGAGCAACCCACGCGCCGATTTGCTCTTAGCATAGAAATTGAAAGTTCCGCATAATTTCATATGAAATATGCTCAGATGGTGAGCGAAAAAGCGACTGCGCGACGCGTTCTAGATACTTTTTGGCTCTTTGCGCAACAGATAGTCGAAGCTGTTCGCACATGTATGAATGTATGTAAATACAGAAATGTGTGTATGTGTGTGTGTGTGTGTGTGTGTGTGTAGCATACATATAGGAAATCGACGAACGCGGTCAGCGACTGTGTGCCAAAAATGACATAGCCGCCCCGGCCCCGTCTTCGCGCCCGGCGCTTGCTCGACGTGTTTATTATTTTTATAAAATACTCATATTGCAAAAAAAAACTGATTCTTTTCTCACCGATGAACAACAACGGAATATTATTGAAAATATAAATCTGCTATGGGTTGAAGACGGAGGCGGCATCGGTTAAAAGAATGTGGCATTACTGAATAACACTCCTTTCAATCATTTACAAATCGCTCCAAGAATGTATCTACAAGATACATACTCGTACATACTGCAAGCGTTGCAGCCATGCTGTGCCGCTTCCACTGCAGCAGACAAACTCATAATCAACGCTAAATTTCATGGCAATGGCAAAATTGCTGATAACTAGCCCCAACGCTTCTTTCTTTGTTGGCCGCTCATCGATCATTAATTTTGTTTTAGTTTCTGCTTTAATACTTTTTAGTTTTCGGTCTCTTACGATTTTGCTTGGCTGGCTTCTTCCATTTTTATGGTCTTTGTAGTGCGTAAGTATGTTGACTGTTTCGTTTAATATCTTCCATATATACATACATACTTGTACTCGTTTGTGTCTATACAAGTATGTAGTATATGTATGGGCTTGTGTCTTCCCAGTTGCCTGGCAAGCAGCTGCAACTTTGGACAACACAATGTAATGTTGCTCGCAAAAGTTGTTGCCAACTGCTTTGCGAGTCTGCCTCACGTTTTATGCAAAAGCAAAATCAACAACAACAGCAATAGCAACAACAACAATAACAAAGAAGTTTCAAGGTTAACGCTGCAGGCTGGTGTTGTTGTTGTTGTTGCTGTTTTGCGTTTGTTGCTTACACGATGCTCAACTTTTTAATATGACTTTAGCTCGCGGCTCAATTAATGCAGCCCCATAGATTTTCATATATGCAGTTTAACTTTGTTTTTGTATATGCTACCAATACGCACACATACACTGCTATAGCACACATACACTGCACGAAAAACTATGTTCATAAATAATAATGGAGAACAAGTGGCGATAAAGCAATGTAAAGAAGCTCTTTAGAAAACTAATATTGTTGCTGCAAAAATCAATTAAGTACAAGCTTTCGAATATCAATTCGATGCAGGTATTATGAGACCGTCAAAAAGTAAAAAAGATGAGAATTTCAACGACATTTTTCTAAGAGTATTTTTTTAAAACCCAAATATATTAAAAAAAATATATATAAACGACACAATTACAATCATTTGTCACTTGTCTATACTATAAACTCTATAGTATAGCTTGTAGTCCATTATCATGAATGAATCCACATGAATCTGTTCAATCCGATGGGATTATACAATCTCAATTATTTAGTCATCTATATTGAGGAACTATATTGTCGTGCCAAATCGTACAGCTTATTTATTTGTATTTCCTGTGAAATGTCAACAACTTTCCAATACCTTTTGTCATGGTTGTCAAAATTTCTCATGGTGAGAGATTGATAGAAAAATGTTTAATAAAGGTATCCAGTGGACTAATAAATGTGTTGAGAAAGCTAAAATATTGAAAAAAAGCAAATTGAATACGCTACAATAATTTGCTTAAATAATGATGTTTATAGTTTATAGCCAATTTTTTTTATTGAAATTTTGAAAAACATATATCTTTTGATGTTCGTGCATCTTAAATATTCCATATTAGATATCTGTCTAAAAAAAAATGTTAAGTTTTTACTGTTGCAAAAGAATTATTTTTAGAAAGCTACTAGAATACCACACTACTTGGTTTGCTCTCGTTTATGACGTAAACGATTTAACTTAAATGTTTGAAATTTAAGAAATTTTCACCCCAAAAAAAAAAAAAAAAAAAAACTGATCTCTTCTCACGCATTAGTTAGCTAGCATTTGTAAGGATTTGGGGGTCAATGGAACAATTGAATGAATGCAGCGGCAATGTTTGCTGACTTTTGCTGCAGTCGCCCCCTCAGTTTGTCGTTCAGTGTATTTGTTTTGCTTGGAAAATATTTCAGAATTTTCTTTCTTTTTTCGAAATAAACTTTTGGAGAGAAAGCCAAAGTAAAACTACCTAGCTACACAAAACAAACATACAAAAACACACTTAGGCACAGACACTAAGAAAGGAACGGCTGGTAAAACTTTTATTTGGCAATCGCTTTTTGTTCTTAAAGATTTATGTTTGTGTATTAGCCCGAAAGTATCTGCAGGCTGGCTGGTTGGCTGTCTGGTTGACTGACTCGATGCTGGGCCAGGGGTTAGGTGTTTGTATATCTGTGGGGCCGCCTGCGCCACCTACGGCACTAGACACTCGCCATTTGGCAAACGGCAGACGGCAGACGGCAGAAGCCACTCGGTGGCTGTTTTAAAATGCTCTGCATCTTTCAGATTTCGCCTTTGCGCCGTTCGCAGTTGGCGTTTCGAGCACGCTATTTATAGGCGCGTAACACATACGCCGCCTCTTTGTGGCACACAAAATGTATCTTATAGATACAGCCAGAGACTTTTGCATCGCTACTCATTGCTGGTTGCGGCGTCTGCGGCGTCTGCGACTCTGCCAACCTCTGTCTGGGCACAAAATATTCTCATAAATACTCACACAGAGACGACAACGACAACCACAACAATGGCGAGACATTGCGCCCCAATGGCCGCCGCTCAGGCCAGAGATCGTCTCCACTGCAAATTGAACAATGCAGGAATTTCAAATGATAGCCAGGGTCCAGCCGCTGCTACTGCTGCTGTTGTTGTTGCTGTTATTGTTGCTGTTATTGTTGTTATTGTTGTGTGGCTGTGGCATCTGCAACATGTTACTTTTTGCCTTTGGCGGCTTGATCCACTGATGAGCTGAACGACTACCTCTTGACCACTTGCCTGAAGGTTTACAGTGGAAATTCCTTCAAATGAATTGTTTAGTTGTGGAAGCATATTTTGCTGCACTAACTTAACGTAACTTAAAATGTTCCCCATAGAGAGGAAATTCTTCTTCAAAGTACTACTACTTCTTAATGGGACAACTTAATGGCTCGCTTAATTGGCTTACGAATCAGTTAGATGCCAAGCATATTTGTACCTTTCATTTCAATTTTTTTTTTATAAAAAACGAATAAAGTTTAATTCGAGAAGAATGTCTAGAAT